ACTTGTTATTTTTTTTATTTTGACTGGAGTCCAGTATTGAACTAAAACCAGCAATGAAAGATATTCAATAATTCTCTTTGTCTTAATAGACCTTCTTCAATTGACAATAACATTGAAGAAAAATTTCAAACTAGATATTGTAAGACACTATTCTGATTAGAGAAGCTGTTGTAATATGATCGTATTCGACTAAGAGTACAATAGTTGGAGTGAGAAAAAAAAAGAGCTCATCAGTAGACTCTAACTGTAAAAACAGCAAGTAGTCAAATAGCTCTTTTCAATTGTTCACTAATTGTTTTCTCTATTCTAACTTTTGTAAATATAAACTCAAGTTTTGCTTCAATTAACCTTTCTCCCAGGATACTGTAAAGATTAGCTCGGTCTATTATGATTGACCTAAACATTATAATTTCTTAGTTGTCTTCATTGGTGGTGTGGCCTTTTCAATTTCGCATGCTATCGTATCAAGAGAAGAAGCTGAAATTATCAAATACATGATTGAGGTAAATCTATGCATCCTAAAAAGAACTGAATCTCACTAACAATATTGATCTTACTTTATCGTAGATCTACTTCACCTATCTATATTGGATATCCATCATTTGGAATATGTTTTGTATTATTGACATCATCCATCATCAACGCAAATTCAAATTCCCTAGGAAGACTTTGGACAGATTGGATTCGAATCAAATGAGTTTGATTGGTGATATTCGTCTCACATAAAACAAATTTCTATCAATATCGTCAGAAGCAAATCGAAAATGATCGATGACATCCTGTATCAATTTACAATTATTTGATGAACCGAAAAAAGATCAATTAGATGATAATGATAATGAACAATCAGAGATAAACGACAATAAACTATCAATAGACAATAATGATACATTTAGTTTTTGTAATCATCACAGTAAATTGAACCCTTTGGACAATCTCTCACGTCGATCAGTGGTAATAAAATCGCCAACAGATACCACACGAGATATCTTTACTCGACGATGTGCTCTAGATCCAATCGAACAATATGATCTCAAAACTTATATACATCATCGAAAAAAATAGTACTGTCGAACATGTTATTGGTTACAATTATGATGAAAATTCCATCGTTGGTGGTCTTTATACTCGTGTTGGTATTAGAAGTAAGTTGTACAAAAAATATGAGATACTGTTAATCATTTAAAAGAATTATTCTAGTTTTTTGTCTTGGCACAATAATTCATTCAAGTCTATCGATTCTAAGTAATTTGGAAAACCGTTCATGTATACAATGAACAACTGTAATCGACGATTTCTCACGATTATTCTTCAGTCTCATTCAATTCTTCTTTATTTTTAAACATTCAAATGTATGTTCTTCTGAAATAATACAATATCAAAAGATAGGTAGAAGATTGACCATTTTTTTTTAGCTCATCATTCGAACCCATGAGAATGTAGCTCGATTGGCAGTTATTCATATTGTTGTTACCAATTTATGTGTATGGTAGGTTCACTATCACTCATAATGAGAAAGACTTTTTTTAATTTTCAAGTGTTCATTGATGCAAATATCATCTTGGAAACGTAGAACAGTAAAATCCTTCGTTCAATAAAAGATCTATTGATTTCTTAAACGATTAAGACATGTTTCTTCATGATTTTAATAGAGACGGATCGTCACATCTATCATTTAGCTGATTCTGAATTTCATTATTTCAAACATTGATGGTCACAAACAATTTTCATTCCATCAGAAAATATTTCTACAAGATTTTATTATCATAAGATAATGTTCCATTATATATTTTGACAGGTTTCGCATGGTTGTGATTGAAACGAACTCGTAAACTGCGGAAATAAATGCTCATGAAATGATTGTAGCACAACACAGTAGTACGATTAGTCATTTTAATAATGGTAAGTATTTATCATCATTATCATTTTTTTTTGTTCGCCTTTCATACACTTTTTCAAATCGAAAAATCAGGCAGTCACGATGCAATCAATCTTCTTCATCGTCTACTGATTTCCCATTCGAACTGTTCAAATTTATTTACCAACGGCAGATTACCAGTTACTTCCTTCATCTTTGAAGGTTAAATGAGATTGAAACCATTTTTATATCCATGTACAATTGAATTTAGTCTTATGTATCTAACAGTAAGTTCTTCTTGTTTCTAGTTCATTCCTACGCATTCTAATTGATTTTATATAGCTGTTCTTTCTCATCTGGGAAAATATTTGAAAAACATTTACACATAACATATCGGATAAAGAATCAACAAAAAATGTTTTCATGGTCAATTGTCATGCATCCATCAAAGGTCTCTTTGTTGGAATGATTGTTTTCTCTTGTACAATGATTACTACCATTCTCTATGTTACTTTTCGACACAAAACTGGTGATAATAACCATGTGACACCATCCTGGTTGACTGAGATGACTCACGATCATCCATATGCTAATCTTACAAGTACAGCAATAATATCGCATCAACAACATTCAATATCAAAGACTTCGAAAACCATAGATTACAGCATAACCATTCTTGAAATATGGAATTTATGTTTGTTGGCTCTTTCACTATGTACTACTATATGGTCATTCATCAAAATTCACAAATTGAATTATCGCCGAACAACGACACGTGAGTGACAGAAGAGAAAAAAACATACACATTACGATATGTTACTCTACCCAATAGGTTTCGACGATGTTCTTATCATTATCTCATTGACAGGCATCTATGTGTATTCGATCTTCAGTGCTTTCGCTATCATTAGTAACTTGAATTCATCAACATGGATCGCCTATGTTAAAGTAGCAATCATTATTTTAGGTATGATATGTGTTAGAATAGAGGATTAAGATTAGTTATCGACAATTGTATGATATGCTGTATTGATTTTTGAGTCGGTTCAGTTTACAATTGAAATAAGGTAGATCTTATTGATGATTTTGTCTCTTGTAGAATTCATCGAAGGTACCGTTCAGGCATTGTTCATTCTCATTGCATTGCGCAAACGTCAGAGACAAACGAATAAATATGAATATCCAGCGCGTGAAATGATCATTCTATTGATCATGCTTGATCTAAGTCTCTGGTTCGAAAAAATAACAACATCGACTAAACCTGAAGCAAATCCAATTCAATTGGCTTTCTATCATGTCGTTCCATGGTCGATCATTGCTGCAATTGCTACACCACTTCAAATCCTTTTTCGTTTTCATGCATCTGTCTGTCTTTCACATGTATGGGCAAATATGTACTACTTGCCGACCTATGAACCAGTAACTCCTCGTGATTTTTGATCTTTTTTTTTATATTCTATTGTGTTGTATCTTTTTTTTATATATTCTATTGTGTTGTATCTCTTTTTTTTGCACGGCTAATACAAAATACATGCTTGACATAGATGTAGAATAAACTTCGTTGGTCTTTTTCAAGGCATTAGCTCCGTCGGTCACTCACATCAGACGAAACTTCTTTATCATTTTCCTTTCTGCAAGAGTGGCCAATGGTTGGTTCTGACTCCACTAACAAGGAAGTCTCATTAGATGGCTTGAATTTAAATGCTCTCATCAAAAGAATAAAGCTTTATGTTAGGTTAAGATTTTTTCATCGAAGTAAATTACAAGACTTAATAGAGTCCTCTGCCACATATACTACTCATTAATTTTTCCAGTGCTATTTCTTTTTTTTTTATTGATTGTAGAAGTATCATATGAAGCAGCAGAGCTAGAATTTTGCTCTGGTATGAGATCAACTCGAAAAAAGTGATCCAGGGAAAGCTACAAACGCCAGTGTTATTAGCATCTCTCATGTGCAAATAAGCGCATGAACTATTTTTCGAACATTGGCCATACTGAATCATTCCATGGCAAAAGTGAGAAGCGATCCGCACTGTTTACGCAATCAATAGATCAATGAATAAATATAGTGGAAGAATGAAAATTATACCTGTGGCACTCGAATGAATCATCATTAAATTTCAATAATTTTTTTTTATAAAAGGTAACTTCATTTACGAGATAAGAGGGATAATAAAACAATAGATTGTAGTTCTGATCATTGCTAGCGTTGAAATAAAAGGGTACTATGGCGACGAGTCTGATATTTATATGTGTAGTGACAGTATTTTAAGTTAGATCGAGTATCAACCAGAAAACGCACAATCAAATACTAATCCCGTGAAATGAATTGAAAATTCAATATTACTTCTAAGCAATATTGCTAAGGAACTATAATCCTTTAATCTACAAAAAATATAATTTTGGCCGAGTAAGAAAGAAATCAAATAGTAGATGGTGCAAACAAGATTCAAAGTATTTTACTATGACTCTTGATGGCAAATATTATTGCCAGAGTAGAGTGGGGCTATTAGATACAACTTTTCGGTCTTTTATTTGAAGTGTGGGTGTGGTGTAGGTAAGGGTCACCTCTTTGTCTACACCGACGCTCACATCTAATACTTTCGGATGAATAAATAGTTGATCTTTCGCTCCTTCCTTACCACCAAGATATTGATCTACTTCAAATTGAAGCTATGTTATATCGATAACAGCATCAGCACCAATGTACAGTTTCGTACTTTTATTAATTAGTGCTTGTGACAACTACAACATATGTAGTACCATCTTCTTTTATTACTGTATGATCTGCTCGTACACCATAGCTTTCGATAGCAAAACCATATTTGTG